CCACCCAACGCCTTTGGATACACAATGATGATCTCCGACTGGCGCAACATGAAGGCGGTTGTTATAATAAACAAGGAATTCATATACTCTTGGACAAAAAAAGACTAAGTAAAAAAAACACACAACACTTTGTGTTCTGTGCACAGAAACCTGACTCTTAAGAAGGACTCTGTTATCTGTCGAAAAGGAAAGTAACCTTTTAGGGGGGGCTATAACTTTTCTTTTGTAAATTTATAAATTTGCTATTTTGGGGGGGGCACAAACCCGAGAATACGAATGTGGCCCGAGGGATTCCGGAGTCGTGGTTCAAAAAGGGACATTTCCAAGCACCCCAGGAGGAATGTCACGCTCAGAAAGAGGGGAGCTTGGAAACGCAAATTGTTTAGACAGCAAATAATTGCCCCAGAAAGCATGGCCACTAACGATGCTGGCTGAAGTTTATACATCTGCTTATTTGGAATTGTATATTGGTGGAGAATGTCATTCTAAATCACCGTGGTGATTTCAACTCCTTCCAGGGAGCAGAAGGAGGAGCGCCCTGCTTCGGGCGCCTACCCTTTCAAATGACAAAAGTAACTTTTCCAAGCTCTGAAGCTGCTTGTTTATACCGCAAACCCTCTTCGAGGCCCTCGAACCCAGTTGCATCTTCTCCGTTACGTTCTTTGCCGGAGGGCTCTGTCTCAACAAGTTCCTAGTCCTCATGGATCAGGCAGGCTCCCTTGGCTTTATGCTTCGGCTTCAGCGAAACTCAAAGCCTAGTAGTTTCAGGTGGGGATCCTCTGCCCCCCCCCAGCTGCCTTCTCCTCACGGATATCCCTCCCCTTCTGTCAGGGTGTTTAACAGCACCAGCCAGATGTTTACAGGAGCCAGCTATTGCCAAAGATAAGGCCCTTGTTTAAAGGAGAATAAAGGCTTCAAGATCCGAAGCAAGGGGTTTTGTGCTGATGTCGTGGGACGCAGGCCAGCTGGCTGCAAAAAGACAGCCACAGGGAACCCAACAAAAGGGTGTTTTTTTTTCCTTGAAGAGCTCTCAGAAGGTCGAGGCTCATTTTAAGTGGAATTCTTCCACTGTTTCCCCCACCTAAGGCATTTTTTTCAAGATCTTTGAACCTTTTAAACCTTGGCTTTTCAGCCTAACGCTCCCTGGCCAGCACCGGGTCGTCGAGATTTCCTTACTTTTACTAGCAGTCTGTTTCTGTTGACATTGATATTTCCCCCTGTTCTGCCAGGAACTGAATTCGGCACACCTTACTCTCTCGTCCTCTCTGAGAGAAGGGACTTGGCCTCAAGCCACCCAACTGGGTTTTGTGGACAAGCCAGGATTCGAACCCGGGCCTCCAGAATCCCATCCCAATAGGCCAACCACTGGACCCCACGGTCTCTTCATCTGACATCTACCCCCCAGGGGCACAGGTGCTTCTGAAGGTGGAAGGAGGCCACCTTGGCTCTATGGGGAGCAGCTGTCTGATGTCTGCCCCCGAAACCCTCTATCTAAAAGGAGCTGCCCCACCAGCCATGACAGACTCTCCCCCTCAGGTATGTTCAAAAATACGGCAGACGGGGTGGCTTTACTAGCGGGGAGAAGGGACATTGAGCTCCACCAACAATAAGAAAGTCGGACCGAAAACTCACGGCCCACTTGAGATGTGCATCCGTTGACCCAAGAGGACTTTCTGCTCAGTGTCCGCATCCTCCTCAAACCCAGAGTTTGGGAAAAAAGTTACTTTTTCAGTTGGCCCTCCCAGAATCCCTCGCTCAGCATGGATACCTGGGGGAAATCAGGGAGGCGCCTGGCCCTACCTGCTTCCCAACTGTGGTGGGATTTGAATCTGAACTTCTTGAACCCCACTCCGATACTGATTTCCAGCCTTGGCCGGATTCAGGTGGCTGGAGGAGGGCTGACCCGACCTGGATGTTGGGGGTGAAACACCATCAGTACTCAAGACCACAAGACACTCCTCATTCGGGTACAACCTCCATAGACAGCATCTCCGCCTGATTTTCTGGGATCTTGCCATCATCATGCGTACACCCCTGCTCTTCCAGGGTCTCCTAGCCTTCTCTGCCGGCTGAAGGATTTCCCCGGGCAGGGAAGGGGCTCAGGAAAGCTGGTTCTGCCGTGCCAGTGGAAGACACCTAAATCTGGTCCCAGTCCAGTGAGTAAAAAAAGCCAGGCGTGCCAGCCTCCCATGTGCAAGATACACACCAAGAGGGGCGGAAAAGCCACGGAGGATCAAGGATTTCCCCTTGTACTCGCAGCTTTTGCACGTTTCTCCAGCAGCCACGTTACTAAATGAAAACAACAACAGTACCGTGGGAAAGCAAAGCTGGCTAGTGGCCAGAGCAGTGGGGGGGGGGAACCCTACCCCAAAATTTCAGGCTAAACCGCCCCCCGTCCAAGCCGAGACCTCAGACCGATCTTCCTAAACGTTTGCCTTTTCGAAAGATGTGAAAACCCAAAGACTAGCATCGTCCTCTTCCCAGGAAAAACGTCAGCTAGCATATAAATAAACAAAGCTCAGAACGGAGCCCTCGGAAAACAGCATGTGGAGGTTGGCATGTTTGTTTATTTGTTTGTTTGTTTGTTTGTTTGTTTGCTGCCTCTTCCGTCCCCCCCCCTCCCCAAGGTGGCTCAAGACGATTAAAACCATACAGGAATAACAAGTCCAAAGCACCAGGCCAAGCTATATAGTTAAAACCAACCTTGGCCAGGAGGATTCGAAACCTGTTTAAAACACATTTTTGAAGAATATTTGCATTTCAAAAAACAAAAACAAAAACAAAACAAAACACCACAGAGTGTTCCCTCAAATCCCTGCTTACTGTTTCTCGGAAAACAGCATGTGGAGGTTGGCATGTTTGTTTGTTTGTTTGCTGCCTATTCCGCCCCCCCTCCCCAAGGTGGTTCACGATGATTAAAACCACACAGGAATAACAAGTCCAAAACACCAGGCCAAGCTATATAGTTAAAACCAACCTTGGCCAGGAGGATTTGTAGCCACCCACCACTTCTAGCAACCTAAAGCACATTTTGGGGTTCGAAATCCTGGGAGCAGCCACACATTCAGGGGAAAACATAAACACTCCCCACATCTGCAAAAGTACAGAATCTGGAAAAGTACGGAAAGTAGCCACCCACCGCTTCTAGCAACCTAAAGCACATTTTGGGATCCTCGGCACCCAAATTATATTTTATGGCATTAGGAAATGAAATTGGATGGGTGGGTAGAGTTGCTTTAACCCCTGACACGGAACGGGATCCACGAGGAAGGCCAGGCTAGCTGGTAGCCTTAAAAGGAACATGTTCCTCTTATGGGCGGAAGGCATACACTGCAACATTTTGTGACAGTCCCGCTCGTAGCACCATATGGGCGCCGAACTGTTTTTTTCCTGCTGTTGCATTAGATCCACCCGAAAACGGGGGACCGCTGATACGAGGGCAGAAGAGTTGAGCCCCACATTTCAGACCACCGTTCTGCAGACACACCCTGTGCGTGCCATGGAATGACACCCTTCATCTTGCCAGGGCTTGTGCCAGCTTTAAAGCGATCGCAACCCGTTCAGGAACGAAGACCAAGAAAAACCAAACCAGTATGTTTGTGTGACTCAAAAAAATCTATCTAGTGCAGAGAAGACAAGTCATTTGTATGAGCCAGAGAGAGAGAGAGAGACTTTCTCCAATAAATCAGCTGGTTTTGAAATCATTTGTATGAGCCAGAGAGAGAGAGAGAGTTTACTTTCTCCAAATCTGCAAAATGTCAAGAACTCAAGCGGCTCTGTCAAGTAAGTCATTACCGCAGAAAGCTGGGTGGGCAACTGAAAACCGGGATAAATCAGCTGGTTTTGAAACGGCCACGGGCCTCTCTGTTTTCATTTTGCCCAAGGCAGTAAAGATTAGCAGAGCTGTCCCTTTGGAAATGGGTCTGTAGACCCATTTCTTAGCTCTGTGGATCTCTAATGGTACTGAATCCATTCAATGCCACCTTAAGCCATGGCTGAAAGAATATTGGTGCCCAACGGCTCTGTTTGTGAGAACTAGTGGGAAGACACCGAGCCAACAGTGAAACTTTAGCCTTTCATATGAAGATGAAAGGACGGGGCCAGGAATGAATGTTGGAATTTCTGCCCGACAAGCAGCTGTTTGTAGCATAGAGGACTCGCCCTAAAATGCTGCCGGGGATCCAAAAGGCTCTTCTTAACATTGTCCTTCTTTGTCAACGCATCTCGCCCTGGCCCTGTAAAGAAGCGAATTTGTCTGGACCGCCGACGCTGGAGAGCCAGAGAGAGGAAGCAAGCTCGTAAGCAGGTGCCGGCTTTCCTCCGGCAGAGGGATCTTGTGCCGTTAACAGCTGGAGAGGGACAAGCAGGAATTCCAGATGGGTTGACTATTTGCAAAAGAGGAGAGGGCTCCTGGACTCAGGTAGGCTGAGAAAGAGGTTTCCTGACCCTCTGTCCATAACAGTGACAACCTACGCCATTGCCAAAAACAAAACACACTTCTACAAAAACCATGCATAGCGCCACAACGCTGGGTTGTGAGTTTTATGTGGTTTTTTTTTTTGAGGGGGGTTGCATCTACCTAGCGCACATTTTCACCTGCCACATTGACGTCGCACAAGGTCTTGCTACCGCGTCCACCACCGCCAATCTCCTACCCTGGCCACCGCCCGACTCATGGACCTCCCTCTCCCGCTGTGTAACACAAACATCGTTTAAAAAGAGAAGCACGGGGCTTCCACTCCATTGGCAGAAAAGACCTGGGAGTTGGGTTCAATAAAATCAATGGCCACATGACGGCTTTTTCCACTGCCCTGTGCCGGAGAGGAGGCCTGGGGGAATTAGGACAAATGATGCTGGTTAAAACCACCCTCGCGCTTTGAGGAGCACAATCGATGGGACTGCTGGTCTCATGGTTTTGTTGACACCCATGCAGACACACACAGAGAGAGAAAGAGAGAAAGAAAAGGTGAGAAAGTAGAAAATCTAGACCTCCTTCTTACCGCGTTCAGCCCTAGGGAGTTGTTCGGCAAAGACGAGGTGATGCCGGAAAGGATGGCCGTGGCCACCACAGCCCCCAGACACTGGGCGATGGTATACATCACGGCCCTCAGGATGCTGATCTGGCAGCTGAGCAGAAGGCCCAGGGTCACGGCGGGGTTCAAGTGGGCCCCGCTGATGTGGCCGACGCTTTGGGCCATGGTGGCGATGGAGAGGCCGAAGGCCAGCGACACCTTCACGTTGTCTTGCACCGGCGTCGTGGTCTTGTTCGCTGACACAGGGAACTGGAAGCCCAAGGCGCAGCCGATGCTGATGAAGATGAAGAGGCTCATGGCGAAGAACTCGGCCACCACGGCACGCCAGAAGGCCATTTTCTTAAATTCGCTCGCCATGGCTTCTGGGTTTCGTGCCCTTTTTTTTCTTTCTTTCCTCCTTTGGTCTCCTCCGGCTGGCTCCTCGGTCTTCTTCTGCTTCTTTCTCTCTCTCGCCCTTCCTCTTATCACCCACCACCTGCCCTTCTCCACAAGCCTCTTTGCTGAAGAGCCAGGAGTCTGAGAAAGAAGCCGAGCGCTCCGATTATTTATAGGGTTTTGGGTGGTCTGGAGGAGGGAAGGGGTGTTGTAACACAGAGAGAGAGAGAGAGAGAGGAAAGAACATCAGCAGAGATGCTGACTCCTATACTGATGTAAGGCACCACTACATGCCTGCCAATTTTTTTTCTCCCTCTCCCCCTCCTTCCCTGGCTTTCCCCGCCCGAGAACTTCCACTCCTCCATCCTTCCTTGCAAACTCCGGTCTCTCTGCGCTGCTCCTGTTGCTGCTGTTTTGAAAGGCTTTTTTTTCAAATATCCTGATTAAAAGAGGCTTCAGGAGTTCCTCCCTGTGGCATTATTTCTAGCATCTTTCTCGCCTCCTCTCGCCGAATGGAGAAATGGAAGAAAACTAGAATGAGGTTGCTTAAGAAACTTCTCTCTCCCTTTTCTTTCTCCCTCTCTCAAGAGACTCTTGACATGCTCCTGGGTTATTTGGTCTCCCTTCCACTGACTTGGGGAGCGGAGCTAGCCAAAGAAACAGGACTGGTCATTCTAAAAACAAAACTGGAGGCTACAAAACATCCCAGTTTTCCAACTTCTTAACATGGACGGGTCTCGGTGGCTGTATGACTCTTATGGGGCACCACCCCTATGCATGTGTATTTAGAAATAAATCCCACGGAGCACAGCCTGGCTTACTTTGGGAAAGGGAGACTACCCTGATGACTTTTCTGCGGAGAAACGTAGATATTTCTGCTCTGTGTGATCTGGAAGTTTGCTCAGAACTTTAGAGATAGTCACATGCACAATACACGTGTTAGCCCCATCCAAAATCTTCCAGCTTGCTTCTCTGGTCTTCCCCTATTTAGTTTTCTCTGGACATTCACCCTGACATTTTGCCTATGGTGTCGACTTGAATCCAGATCTCATTTCTTCAGTCTGTCCTCAGTGAGCGAACCCAAGGAACCCTGTAACTAACAAGGGCTGCAAACTGAAACACATTTGCAAGCGAGGAAATCCCGCTGAATTCAACAGAGGCAGGAACTCAGCGAGCCGAGAACTAGTACTGCAGCTTCTGTGAAGTTGCAGTGCGGAGTTCCTCCTTCATAGCACAGTCCCTATCTGCCCTGCCAGCTGCACACACACACAAAAAAAAGCTGCATTGTTGACTTTCTCGACACTTCCTGGCCCGCGCCAGGCATTCTGAGTCCCGCCAACACTGTTAGGATGATCTCTCTTTGCCTCCTCATTTGGGGATTCCGTTTAGGCAGAATTCATCCACAGACAGACAAACAGATAACCCAGAGGGAGCAGTGGGTCTGAGATTGAATCCAGTGGTTTCTCTTTATTGATGGACGGCATCTTAATATTTCCTCTCATCCATTTTGGGGGGCTGGGGGTTTGTGGCGCAGGTGGGATAGATGGTTGGATGGACCCGACGGAAAGTTGGGGGGGGGGTCTGTTTTGTACGACCAGACGGAGAAGGGTACTTATATGGAATGATCTGGTAGCTTTTCCCACCAGCACTGAGTCGTTGCATTTAGGATCAAGGAATCAGGGACTTTAAGGACACTATGTGAAGGCATTTTTTTTCAACTTCATGAATCCTGCACCTTTTGATCTCCAGATTTTTTGGAGAAGGTCCCAGAATCCCCAGACAGCAGGAACGATAGGAAGGAGTTACGAGAGTTAATATCCAAAATGGAGAGCCAAAGCTTCCCTCTGGAAAAAAGGGAGGCAGAGCCCTTTAACAGCTGTATAAAAAAAGAGAATCTGAGCAGGTCTTTCTTGCACAGGAAGTGGGGCCTCCTGAAAGTCTTTCTCCTTGACAGGGGCTAGACTTGATGACCCCATAGGGTCCCTCCCAGCTCTGCCGTTCTAAGAGTATTATTGAGTCCATGGAGGAATTTCAGGACAGCTCCCTGCCTAAGATCTCAGAGGCAGAGGTTGGGAGTTCGATTCCTCCCCCCCTTGCAGGACCTCCTTGACAGGGGCTGGACTCGATGACCCCTTAGGGTCCCTTCCAGCTCTGCCCGTCCTAAGATGATGATGATAATAATGATCTGTCTTTCCCAGACAGAGAGGCAGACATGATGGGAGAAGCGGGCATTAGCGTTGCCCTAAATGTATTTCCCCTTCTCATATTTTGAGAACACTCGTCAAGAAAGTATGAAGACGGATCTGTATTCCTTGTGCTTTGATATTTGTTTAGTTGTTAAGCAGTGTCTGACTCTTCATGACCCCATGGACCAGAGCATGCCAGGCCCTCATGTCTTCCATGGCTTCCTGGAGTAGGGTCAACGTCATATTGGTGGCTTCGGTGACCCTGTCCAGCGATCTCGTCCTCGGTCGTCCCCTCCTCTCCTCTTGCCTTCACACTTTCCTAACATCAGGGTCTTTTCCAGGGAATCTTCTCTTCTCATGAGATGGCCAAAAGTATTGGAGCCTCAGCTTCAGGATCCGTCCTTCCATTGAGCACTCAGGGTTGATTTCCTTCAGAATGGATAGGTTTGTTCTCCTTGTAGTCCAGGGGACTTTCAAGAGCCGGTGTGGAAGTGAATGTGACATACAGTAAATGTGAGATGCAGAGAGAAGAACTCTTGCAAGGAGCTCCCCCTCCGCCTTGTCTCGGAGCAACAAAGCGTTGCTGGTTAGTGACACTCACACAACGGTATTTTTCAACTTCACGACTCCTGCACCACGGCCCAGGGAGTGATCCGGAAGGAAATGAGGCAGCCGTGCCCATTGGAATGAATGGCGCGCCATGTAAGCATCTCTCTCAACGGACCTCATGATGGGAAGTATGGTGTGTGGTGTTGCTGTGCACTTTCTCTCTCCCTCCCCTCCCCCCGGTATTCTTTTTATTAAATTTAGCTCATCCCACATCAAGTCAGAAAGACGTTTCCATGACAAAAACTGAAGAGAAGGAGCAGGGTGAAATCCGACACAGATCCAAAACCCTCAGAAACTGTGGAGGGTTTAAACTCGCCTCCGGACAAAAGCCGGAGTTGGGTCAAAGTCATGTTGGTTACTTTGCAGATCCCTCCCCCCGGTATTCTTTTTATTAAATTTAGCTCATCCCACATCAAGTCAGAAAGACGTTTCCATGACAAAAACTGAAGAGAAGGAGCAGGGTGAAATCCGACACAGATCCAAAACCCTCAGAAACTGTGGAGGGTTTAAACTCGCCTCCGGACAAAAGCCGGAGTTGGGTCAAAGTCATGTTGGTTACTTTGCAGATACTGTCCAGCCATCTCATCCTCTTTCGTCCCCTTCTTCTCTTGCCATCACACTTTCCCAACATCAGGGTCTTTTCCAGGGAGTCTTCTCTTCTCACGAGATGGCCAAAGGATTGGAGCCTCAGCTTCAGGATCTGTCCTTCCAGTGAGCACTCAGGCAATTCAAAAGCATCAATTCGTCAGCGGTCCGCTTTCTTTACGGTTTAGCTTTTCTCAATTTTGCTAAGTTCAGATAAAAAACCTGAACCGCCACAAAATTCTTACCCAACCTCCACTGCAGTGCAAATGTATTTATCTTCTGTTGAATCATCATTCTTGTCCACAAGGAACGGAGAGGAAAAAAAGGATGACAATCATCTACCTGTTTGAAAGATCAGAGTAGAAGCGGTCTGCATAATCCTTCCAGAGTTTAAATATGTTCACATTTTGGAAAAAGAGCTCAAAGAGACCACCGCCACCAACTCCATCACCCAACTAGCATGATTGTTCTGTTGTCCAAAATGGGGGCTTTCCCAGCTGGAATTTGCTTGTTTATTCTCAGTCCGGGGTTTTATGGGCTGGTGGACAATATCCACCAGCATCTAGGACATTTCAAAACAAGAAATGCAAGGGGTGAACACGGTGAATTAACTTCATCAGGGGCCATCAAACTAACTCTTGACTTAAGGTGACCCCTTATATCAGTGTTTTCTAGGTAGAGAATCCTCAGAAGGGGTTGACCATCTTCCCTTCTTCTGGAAGTGCCCTGGCAATGTGCAGCTTGCCCAAAGCCATCCAGGCTGGCTCTATTCTGGGGTGGCTTAATTAAACGTATTCTCCACCATGCCCCAGGATACTTGCTTTGGAATGAAATTGATTTTGCCCAGAACTATTGATTCAGCTTTCACTGATTCGGGAAGGACTTTTAGCAAAACTATCTCATCTCCAAGGTGCAATGTGGTTTCGCTTGACAAGGAAGCGGGGAAGGTTCATTTCATTCCCAGGACGGTTTCACTCGTTCAGAACAAATCATCCTACGTTTATTGAGATCAAATCCTGTATTGGTTGTTCCCACTCCCCTTGGTAATATTTAAAAAAGAGAAAGAAACTGATGTTGAGTGCAGTGAAGTACTGTTGATCGGGGGGATTTTGGTGGCCTTGATGGCTGAAGAATTATAGGAGCTGTTGTTCAAAGGGGAGGGGGCTTTCCAAAGTACTGGTCTTAATCCTAATAATTATATGCTATCAAATTGAACCTTTCCAGAGTTTTCTAGATGGCTGGGTCCTGTAAGATCCAGTTGGATCCTGTACCTGCAGGGGATCCATTCCACAATCTACTGTGAATGCCTGAAACTGTGGATAGTCACAGTTGGATCCTGTACCTGCAGGGGATCCAGTCCACAATCTACAGTGGATGCCTGAAACTGTGGGTAGTCGCTAACTCTATATAAAGTTTAGAAGGAGGCAGGGCAAAGGCCACGAGGACCACTCTCTTGTTCGTTGTATATAGGGTTAGCTTCTATCTGCGGTTTCAGGTAAACTGCAGATAACTGAAACTGTTGATTCTGATCCTACAGATATGGAGATCTTACTGTTCTCAGAAGTGGTTGACCATCTTCCCTTCTTCTAGGGCTGTCCTGGGACTGTGAAGCTGAAATGTACAGCGGGGAATCAACCCCCCCACCAACCTCCCAATATACCGAGCTTTTCAAGTAATCTAAAAAGCGAAGGCTATTTAACCCAACCCTTTCACTCTCTATGAAAGCGTCACATTTTGCAAGGGAGGAAAGGAAGACATCATCCTAACTGAGATCCTGGCTAGCTGAGCCTCAGTGTGACAAGGGTTGTGCTGATTTGGACTCTGAGGGAACTTTTTTGTGATCAGACAAAACCCCTCTTTGTATTTTTTTTTTTTTGACCTTTCGGCGTGGTGTTTGGCCTCGTTCTTTCTCTCCGGCTCTCTCTTTTCCCTTCTTCCTCGGAAATTTTTCTCAACCTCCCCCCCCCCTTTCTTCACTCTGTCTTGCTCCATCACTGCATCTGATGGTATCATCTGCTTTTTCTGCAC